GAACCCTAGGCCGGCCCACGGTCCCGCCCTACCCCCCCCCGCCCCCGGTCCCCCTCGGTCCGGTCCGGTCCCCACGGTCCCTCGGCCCTACGCCCGTCGCCAGGCCACGCGGCCACGTGTTCGGAGCTACGACGAGCAGCTGCGGCTGGCCATGGAGCTGTCTGCGCAGGAGCAGGAGGAGCGGCGGCGGCGCGCGCGCCAGGAGGAGGAGGAGCTTGAGCGCATCCTGCGGCTCTCACTCACGGAGCAGTAGCGCCCACTGCCGGGCCCCTTGGCCATGCCCCGCGGGACCTGTCCCGGAGCTAGGGTTGCCCCGCGCGCGCGCTCGCGGAGCTGCGTCTGGAGACCAGAGCCGCGGCCTCGGGAGTGTAGCGGCGCGCTCGGCACCAGACAGGGAGGGATTCGGCCTGGCCGCGGGGTACCTTTCCGGGTTAGAGCCCTGGAGGCAGCTGGCACGGCCCGGTCCCCCTGCTTTGCTGTATCCTGACCCCTACCCCTCTTCCCTGGGCTCGACCCATCCAAGGGCGGAGCCAGGCGGTCCTGAGGGGGAGCCGGTCCTTAGAGGAGCAGTGTCCCCATCTCTTGCTCCTTCTGGCCAGTCCTCCTTTCTGCTCACTGACCCCACTCCAGGACACTGCCCGTGAAGCCTTTGCATCTCCGCTCTTCACCCCTGGGGGGCAGCTGAGCTCCCCACGTGCTGTGTTGCTGCTTTATCCCAGATACAAACCAGCACGTCAAGGGCCCAGCCCCTCCCCCACCCCGGCATTTCAGCGTCAAGTGCACTTAGCGGGGTGCCCGGCTCCCCCAGCCCCCACACCTCTCCCGGGTCTCTCAGGGTGGTCCCAGCTTCTCCTTGGGCGGCCAGAGGTTGGAGTCCCTATCCCCAAGGCACGTTTTTGTGATCAGGGAGGGTGCCCAAGGTAGCCCCCCAACCTGGGCAAGGCCTGGCTCCCTCGTGGTGTCTTGGCGAACGGTGGGGGCAAAGTGGGCATGGGGCAAACACTATACTGGACACAGAGGGGTCTCCCAGGGCCCTGGCACCACCACCCACCCCTTCCCACCAGCTGCTGCTAGCCCTCTGTGGTTGTGCGTCCCACTTCACCCCACCCAGGGGCTGACTCCAAAACCCTTCATCCAATGGTGCTAACCCCCGGCTCTCCCCCTGCCCCACCCCACCCACCCAGAGAAGCACAGACCCCGCCAGGGGCAGGGGCCCACCGCACACCCTTGTCCGAGTTCTCTCGGACTGGCCTTCCTGGCTCAGCCAGTGAGGCTCAAAAGGGACACAAAAGAGACGGAAGAAAAGAACAAAGAGAAGCTGTTCCTCTCACCCCCTTCCCTGATGCCAGGGGCACCAGACTGATTCTGAGGCACAAATAAAAGAGGCTTCAAACCCGAGGCTTTTCCTACCTGCCTTTACTAGGGAAGATCCCCCACCTGTGGGTTGGGGGTTCCTTCTGAACGTCAGTGTGGGGAGGGCCCTAAGGTAATAGGATATCTGGTGGGTCCTGAGCCCAGGGCTGCATTTGTCAGGTCCCCCAGGAGTTTGAGGGTGGCACTTGCAGTGGCTGGAGGGGTCTCACACCCCCACCCCCACCCATGCAGGAGGCACAGACTGAGCACTTGATTAAATGTTTCTTTCAGTCCATCTTGTTTTCCTCCTAGATTCAAGGCCACAGCAGAGGGTTGGGGACAATGCGCATGCGTGGGTGCGTGCATGTGTGTCTGGAAGAGGTGAACCTGCTTCCTCATGCCAGTTTTCTGGTTGGTTCTCCTGCCGGAGTGCCTGGAGGAAGCTGCCCTCTCCCCTGCGAGTGGGAAGAAGGAAGAGAGCCCTCTGCCATAGACTGCTGGGTGTAGCCCGTGGGTCCGGCTCTACAGCCAACGTTTGTGTATGTCTGTAGAACTGGGGTGACGCCCATTCGGTTTACCACTCAGGGTGGTGGAGTCAAGTGAGCTGATTAGAGGGAGAAGCGTTGTAATTTTCCCCAACCAGTCTGGGGAGACCCGTCGAATCGCTACCCCTTTGAGATCAAGCCCAAGCTCCCCAACATCCCCAAGCATCGCGCTAATACTAAGCACTTCCCTTGCCCCGGGCGGGGAACAGCAGCACCATTGCTGAGGGCCCTGTCACTCCGGGCCTCCCAAGACCAGCTCCTGTTGAGTCCCGGACAAGGCAAGCAGCCTGGTGGGAGCCTGATGGACGCGAGTCTCCGCAACGCTTCCTCTGCCCTGGGCTCCCGCGAGGGTCGGAGTTCCCTTCCCAGTTCCCGGCCCCGGCCCTGGGGGGGCAGAGTTCCGGACCCAAAGCCGGGGCGGGGCCGAGTGAATGCGCTTGGCCCGGCTTTGCCCTCCCGGCTTGGAGCTTTCCGGGCGCGCTGCGCTAGTCTGTGTCGTCCACCAGCTCACAGAGCATGTTCTCCAAAGCTGTGATGCGCTGCTCCTGGGCTTGCACCTGCTCCCGCAGGGCCTTGATCTCCTCCAGCAGCGTCTCTAGGGTGTGCTGCTGCTGGGTGCAGGGGACAGAAGAGGCGGTGTTGGGCTGGGGGCGTAGGGAGATGGAGCCTGGGTGGAGCCGGGAGGGACCTTACCGACAAGGGGGCGTCGCTGGCCGACTGGCTGCGGCGAGGGCCAGAGGGTGGGCGCACGTCCAGGATGTTGCGCTTGGTGACCCGGAGCTCGCGGTGCTTGGGGGGCACGTAACCATCTCTCAACGAGATGAGCACGGGTTCGGCGTCCTGGCCCGATAGCCATTCGTCCGCTTCCAGGGCCGGCTCGGGTCCCGGCGTGTCTGGGTAGAGGTCATCCTGGAACAGGTCTGACTGCGGGGTCGGGGGACAGGAGAAGGAGCGTTAGCAGGGTTCCCGGCCTACTTCTCTCCCTTCCGCCTCAAAGCCCTGCCCAACCCCTCTCAGGGCCACTCACCTTGCGGGGCACAGTCATGATGATGGGTTCACACTTTCTTTCGTGCAACTTGTAGAACCTATAAGGAAGTGGGGTTCAGCACTCCCGCAGGCTCCCATCCCCTTAACTTCTACTGGGGCCAAGAGTTTAGAGGCCAAAACTTGCTGAGCACCTACCATACTTTGCACTTTAAACACATTCAGCTGGTAAAACACCTCTGGTGTGGTGTTTAATCATCATTTACAGATGAGGAAACAAGTTCAGAGAATGTCAAACTAGTTAGTGCAAGAGTGGGGTGGGGGGCTGGCACTGGAAACAAGCCTGTTTGACCTGCTCAAACCCACTCTTTTCCAAAGGTTACAGTATTGGGGAAGCCCCCAGGTCTTTCCAGATGGTACGTGGGGACAGAGGCAGGCAAGCGGCAAGGGCAAGGCTGCTGACCTCGCGATCTCGCACTTGCTGACATCCAGTCCCCGTTTGGGCATGAAGCCCATACCCCTCTGCGGCTCCTTGCTGCTGAACGTGTTCAGGTAGTGCACAAAAGGTGGTTCCTCGGTAATCTCAAAGTACCGAATGCTGCTGTCGCCCTGTAAAACCAGTCGGTTCAGAGATGCCCTGGTTGGGGGTCTCCCACATCTTCGTCCAGCCCCCCTGTTCTTCCCTCCCGCCCGCGAGCACCTTGCCACACAGGTAGATGATGCTGGAGTCGGGATCGTAGAAGGGCAATAGGACGCCGTTGCTAGTGTCCATCTCCTGCAGTGCCACTGGCTCCTCGAAGTTGTTCTGCCCGAGCACAGGAGGCGTGACCAGCACTGTCCCGCCCTCTGTGACACTTCTGGATCCCCTGAAGCCCCTTTATGCTTCCTGTCAGTCCCCAAACCCACACGCGCGTTCCCAAGGCAGCTCTGGTGAACGGAGCTGCAAGCCCCGACCCTGGACTCTCACTCCCAGTCCCCTGCACCTATACCCCCGCGCCACCACATGCAGTCACCGCAAACCACCCCCAGGGACACGGCATCACCAGGTGGGGGCGCCAGCGTGGGCTCCTTCAGGCGACGCAGCAAAACTGGGCAGAGGGGTGGGTGTGGGGATGGCAGGCGCTGCAAAGGGGGCAGCAGCCTCCAGCCCTGTCCAGGTGGGCATGCCCTGCGGGTGGGGGCACCTGGCCCCTCTCCCGTGATGCCAGTCCCCGGGGCACACACCCCAAGCGTCCAGCTGCGTTACCGGGTCCCACAGGCCCAGCTCTCGCTGGCTCATGCGGGTGAAGCCCGTGGTGAAGATATGACCCTGGCGCGTGAAGACCGCCCGCATGGGCCTCATTCCCTCGTGGGCCGCAAACCTCTCCTGGGGGGTGGGGGAGACAGGGAGAGGCGTCATCCAGCTGCCTGCCCTGGGGAGCCTGGAGGGCCAAGCAACCAACTTGCTGACTTGGGTGTGGGGGGCGAGGACAGGGGGTGGAGGCGAAAGGGGCAGTTTCCTGGGGGCCTTTGGCTGGTCTCAGGCCTGGAGAGCGCTGGGCGCGCACGTCTCTCAGCAGATCCCGAGCCCTTAAGCGCCCTCAGAGCAGGCTCCCCCGGCACGCAGCGAGGTTCTTCCCAGATGGGAGCTCCCCGCTCCGCTTCAGCTCTCTTGGGCGCCGGCCGCGGCCTGAGAGGGTGCTCCCGGCTGACCCAGCGAAGGAGCGAGCGCGCGCGCCCGGCGCGGCCTGGCCTACCGGGTCCCAGAGCGCGAGTTGTCGCTCACTCATCCTGCTGAAGCCGGTGCTGAGTAGCTTCCCGTCTGCGGTGAAGACCGCCCGCAGCGGGCGGGTGCCCTCGTGAGGCCGGGCTCGCTCCTGCTCGCGGGGTTAGTGGGTTAGAGCGCCCGCCGCCCCGCTCTGCCCCGGCCGTGCTCGACGCGCGCACTCCGCGCAGACGTGCACGTGCCAAGCGCATCCCGTGCCCCGCGTTAGATTCAGGCTGGTGAGGCAAGTGCTGCCCCCGGGGAGGGATACTCAGCTGGGACAAATAATGCGAGGGTTACCCGCAAACCCCTTCCCAGCGGGTCAGCTAGGGTGAAAAGGGGCCTGCCCGTGAGCCAGTGTCAGGGTCAGACCCTGGAAGATGGCTCTAGGTGCCGACCGGGAGGAGAGGGGTCCGGGAGCTCAGGTTCATGCAGGTCTGGTGGGAGGATAGTTAGCAGCTTTCCCCACCGTTAGTCACAAATCGAGCGGCCCTTCTCTGAACTTCTGAGATGCAGGGGAGGGAACAGAAGCGGGGCCGAGAATTGCGGGTGAGGGCTTACTTAGAGGGCAGGGGGCTGAGTCTGGGGTTGAGGTGGAGGAGGGGAGAGCTGGGACCGGAGGCTCAGAGGATTGCAAGTGCAGAGGCCTGACAGCTGCCCCTTGGGGTAGGGGCTGGGAACTGGCTACCCCAGGTACTCACCGCCACCACCTGGCCCTTGCGGGGGTCGATGATGCGCAGGGTCTTGTCCTTGCAGGTGGTGGCTAGCAGGCTACCGTTGCTGTTCCAGCACACGCTGTGGATGACGTCCGGGTGCATGTCGTCTAGACTCAGGAGCACCTCCCCAGTGCCCACGTTCCAGATGATGATCACATTGTCACCACCTGCCCAGAATGGCCAGGCACCGTTACCTGGGCCCTGCCTTTGCCACTCCCCATCCAGATCTATGGTAGGGGCCCCTCCCTAGGCCTCCAGACCTGCACTGAGCAGGACATTCCGGGCAGTGGGGTGCCAGGAGAGGATGCCCACACGTTTGGAGTGGCCCTCGAGTGTGATGATGGGTTCCGTAATGTTGCGCATAGGGGTATAGTCTGGAATCTGCCACACCTGGGTGGAAGGAAAAGGCATAGAGTGGGTGGGATGAGGAGCCCGCTTTGTCTCTCTGCTTCTCCCATGCTTCCCCCATCCTCCTTCCCACCAACCCTCCAACCCTACTGGTTCGCTTCAGTGGTAAGGGTCAAATGCAGGACAAGATGTAATGGTGCCTGCCTGGGGTAGAAGCAGCTAGGAGCCAGGAGGGGGCACTGCCAGCTCTCCAGAGACTTCCCTACTCACCCAGAAGGGAGACTTCAGAGCACTACCCCCCTGCTCTTTAGGTCCCAAGGTGGCCATGGCTATAATTAGTCCTAAGCAGTGCATCCTGGGAGGGGTTGGGCATGTAGCTATAAACAACCTAGAAGCTGGGCAGGGTAAGGCCCTGGGACTCAGCACCTCCCTTGCCACCTTCCCCAGCACAGGTGAGGCAGCCCACCCTGCTTCCCCTGCCCAAGCACCCAGCAGCAGCCACCTGGCTCCTACCATGATAGTGGTGTCATCTGAGGCACTGGCAATGACGTTGTCATTGTGTGGGCACCAGTCGATGTCCAGTACAGGGGCAGTGTGCCCAGTGACCAGTGGGTAGTTCTTATCCACTCGCCCTGTCTGCAGAGGTCAGAGAGGGAGATGTGGGGCCACTGTCCTTGTGTTTTCTGGGGGTGGGGAGTGGACTTGTTTACATCTCAATTCTCTATTATCTGTTTTCTCTTTGCAGACCCTCCTCTGTGCTTCTTCATCCCCATCCAGTCTACATCTAGTACTTCACTAAAGGCAGAGTTGAAGTCATTTAATATCAAGGAATCAGATTCAGAGAGGTAAGATAACCAAGGACACACAGCTAGATACTGGTAGAGCCAAGACTTGACCTCTCAGTCCAGTGCTCTTCCCAAAACACCTGCTTGGAGGAGGCTGTTCTTGGGCCTGTTCCCCCAAGTGAAATGTCTATGGGAAGACCCTGGTGGAGTAGTCAAGGTAAGGTAATATGCAGCCCTTTCCTAGTCACACTTGACAGATCTCCCCCTTGTCACTGGCTTTGCCTTGGAACCACAAGCAACAGGCATTCCTGGTGCCTGCTATCTCCCAACCTGAGCTGGGACCCATCTATTTTTGGTCTTTATGGTATGTTTGTGGGGGCTCCAAGGCCTTTGCAGGGGCTGGCATCAGCCCAGGCCAGGCGGTAGGAGAGAGGGGTGGCTGTGTGGCATTGGAGTGGCAGTTGTACTGGGGAGGAAGTGGCTCCAGCTGAAATTTGAGCCCTGGGGATGGTGTCTGCGTTGTCCTGGAGTGAGTCACTGGCTATTGTCAGGCCTCATCCTGACCTTGCCACCTGTGGGGCCTCCCCTAACAAGGTATAGGGGCCAGAATCCAGGTCAAGGTCATGCCTTGGAGTGGCCATCCTGAGGGCAGAGATGGCTGAGGGGCTTGAGGCTACTCAGTAAAGGTGGTCATTGCTTGGCTCCCATCCCTGGAGTAGAGAGCACTATGGCCTTATATGTCATGTCCCCTGCCCTTTGCTCTTATTCTACCTTACTGCAAGAACCAGAATGGGGAGGTGGCCAGGGACTCTTTGGATAGAGCCTGAGTTTGTCCTCAGTGTGTGTTCTGGGATGTGACAATCAAATGGTCACCCAGGGCTGGGTACAAAGATCTTGATACCAAAAAATGAAGGGATGTGGCATTAGGAGCAATAGGAACAGAATCTTGGCCAGGTGCTGACTCCACTGCTTCCCAACTATCTCCATGACCCCCTCCTGGTCCCTGCTAGGAACAGGCTGCTGCATGGAGAAGGGGTGGGCTGTGAGTGTGTGGGCCACTATGATGCTGCTACTCAGGGAGGGGTGAGGGAGCCTCCCAATTGGTCCCTGAGGACTTGGGGAACAGAGAGCAGTCAATCCATGGGACTGCTCTTCTGACTGAAGAATGGAACTAAGTGAGAACACAGGCTGCTGTCCAGAGTCCCCAGGAGTCACAGCCAGTGTCCTCCACCTGCTTCCTTCCCCTTATCCCTCACCTTGGCCAGAGGCAGGACGATGAAGGCACCTCCACCCCCAGCCTCCACAATAATGGCCAGGAATTTGGGGTTGACGGCACAGAAGGAGCTGTCCCATGTGACCTTGGACACTCGGATGTCCTCGTAGGCCTGGTCAGCCTTTGCTGCCTGTCCAAACACATGGCGAAATTTGCTCTGCCGAACCACACGCCGACTCATAGCTGGGGGCAGAGGTGGAGGATCTCAGTGCCCAGAAATGCCTTTGGTCCTTACTCCTGTGAGCTGTGGGAGGGAGGAAGAGTTGGGGGTGGCAAGTGAGAAGGGTTATCTGGCCAGGAGTCAGGTATAAATTAATGCAGAGTCTGGTCCTAGAAGCAGGGAGCTTTCTCCAAGGTGAATAAAAGTGTGGGAAAGTTCTCTGTCACCTATAAAGTGCTGATTAATTCAAGAGGCTAGTATTTGGGACCTGACTTCCCCTTAGAGAACCAGGCTTGGGGGACAGTGGAGCTTGACTGGGCCTGGGAGCTTCCTGGAAGTTGAAGTGCTTTTGGGAGGAGCCTCAATGCCAGGCTGCCTTCCCACTGCCAGCCTTGGATGAGCATCTCTTAATGGAAGCGGTTTATCTCCCAGATGCCAGCAGAGGAGAGGCACCTTGTCTAGAATCAGAGGCCTTGGGTCAAGGCCAGCTATGGGGCTAGGACTTTAGTCCTCCAAGATCCTAAACTCGGCATTTCTGTCATAGTGTAGGCAGATGGGGTTTTGCCTTTTTCTACAAATTTGCCAAGGAGAAGTTCCTCCTGTCAGCTAACCTGAGTCCTTCCTGCTACTGTTTTCATCAGTTTCCTCTCATGTTGTTGCTGGGAAACAGTGGAAGGTGGATCTCTCCTCCTCCCACTCCTCTATGTACTGGCTTAAGAGGTCCTAACCTTGGTGTTCTGGATTTTGCCTACCATACTTCAGTCCCACTTCTCTTCTGGATCCTCTCTCCTACTAAACTCTCCCCGGGTGGGGTCCTCGACCCCTGGGCTAGAGCCAGATTTTCAGGAGTGGAGTGGGGAGGATGAGGTGCCTTTTCTCCCTTTAGGGGCCTGTGCTAAGCTCTTTCCCAGGGGACACACTGTGCTCTTCCAAAGCCCCAGCCACTGACTGCTGTCCCTCCCCAGCCCCGGGCATCCCTGTGCCCTTCAAGCCGCTTCTGCGGCCCCCCAGCCTGAGGCCCAGCCTCCCCGCACCCTCCTCCGGCCTCCTGCCCCAGCACTGCGTTCTTGCGAGACGAGGTGTCTGCGCCCTGCGGGCCGCTGTCCGGCCAAATATAGACACCAAGTCCGCCCCGCCCGGGACCGAATCTGGCGGCGGAGCGGGGTGCGCAGACCTCTGTCCCCTCCAGACACCCCGCCCGCTCGGCTGGCTGCGGTGGCGGCGGTGGGGGGGGGTACCTGGTCCTGAGCGGGCCGAGGGGAGCTCACGCTGCGACTTCTCTGCGGAGGGGGTTGGGGGTGCGCTGGGGGCCGAGGGAGGCGTCAGGGCACCGGAACTGCCTCTCCGGGTGTCCGCGGCGTCTGGGGGCCCGGGTGTTCGGCTGCGCGCTCCGGCCGCTGCCTGCGACTCTCGGGGCCCAGCGCCGCTGCAGTCCCAGCTGCCGCTGCCATCAACCTGCGGAGGCGGGGCCTGGGGCAGGGGCGGGGCCACACAGGCCCC